GCTGCCCGAAGCCGGTAGCGCTGGGGCAGCTCGGCTCTTAAACAGAGCCGAGGAGTCAGGGAGCAGCACGCAGCAGCTGCCGCCGGAGCCTGGGAGGGGAAGTGCCGGCCGGGGCGCAGGGTCTGGAGGTTCTGGGGGCTGCCCAAAGCCGGTAGCGCTCGGGCAGCTGTTTCATGGCTGGGAGGGAGGAGGGGGAATGCGGGGGCTCAAGGGAGGGGCGGAGTTGGGGCGGGGTCGGCAGGGGAAGGGGCGGAGTTGGGGCGGGGCCAAGGCCATGTGGAGTGTCATTTTTTTTTTTAAATTTTTAAATATGGTAACCCTACTCTCCATAGTAAACAGTGTTCTGCTATAACTGCAGCTGAACAGTTTTGGTGGGTTTTCTCTTCACGTTTTCTGCTGGTAGAGGGAACTGGGACCACATCTTTGCTGTCCAGGGGAGCTGTAACGGAATCCAGCAATGATGTCATGATTCAGTCCCCTTAGAAGCCAATGGAAAGACTCCCCCCGACTTCAGTGGGAGTTGGATAGGCCCTTGATCTCGGTTGCTGCTGCTCAGCTCCTACAGAAAGTTACGTGCTGCGGGTCTGGGGGAGCAGAGGGGATAAGGCAACACGCTAAGGTGAAATTTGCTCCCCAAGGGACCCAGGGAACAAATAGCAGTGGAATCAATTCCCTGAAACAAGGGAAGCACCACAGTCTACTCCTTCCACCATCCTAGCCAGAGGAGCAACAGCCAATTCCAGTGCATAAAACTTCAGTGTCTGCTGTTGCAGGCTTGCACCCCTGACCATCACTTCTGGCTGAACAGGTAGAAATATTAATAGATGTAATAGGGTTTATTCATTCCAAGTTGGGTTCCTTGATGGAATAAGTTCACTTATTATAAGTGAGGATCGATTTGGTGCTTAAATAGGTTACGTGTCCTTATTTTCCTGAGCTTTAAAAATCAACACTTTCTTGCTATATACATTGTAGATAGGAAATGTATGGGGAGTTTGGAAAGGCCAAACCATTAGTTTTCAGGAGCTACCATCAGCCTGTGGTGTGTTTTTTTTTTTTTTAACACTTGCCAGACCAGTTCAACAGACCTAGTTACATGCTCCTTCTTGGACTAAAGATCAAGCCTGCATATCAGTTCATTTTCAGAACTGGAGAATTTGTCCTTGGTGAAAATAACTTTTGTAGGTAGTTCCTCTAAGGCATCTTTTAATATGTCTCCTAAATGAAGTCTTGCAAAAATCATATTGTCTCAGAATTTTGTTTTAAACACATAGGAAAAATATGATAACGTACCTGTAAGCAATCTACTAATGTACGTGAATCACTGTGCCACCCAGGAAATCCTCATGGTTTTTCTAACTACTTTAAAGTGTGTCTGGCCTAATATTACAGGTATTTTGATTCTAAGCTGTCTGGGGCAGGGACAATTATTTGCTGTGTTTCTACAGTGCTTAGCAGAATGGCTTAGTAACCTGGGTGAGGCCTCTACATCCTATCCCAGTACAGATGTTTAATTGCTATATGTCCATCCATATGTCCGGAAGGAGGAAATTTTTCCTTAGCAATAGCTCTTCCCTTTGTGGCAATACAAATATTAATCAGTTGGGAGCACACGTTTTGAAGAGGTGTGACTTAAATGTTTTATCACATCTGTATGCAACTGTGATTAGTGCCCTGCTAACACAGTTGTAGACTAGCTTAATATGCAGAACAACAAGGAAAATGTTGAAATTGCTAGTTTGGTTTTTCAAGATCCCAAGGATTAACTGACATATCTGTGAAACAGTTCATCTGTGCTTAGGTATAGAAATAATATGCACAAACAAGAAGCCTCTTCAGTTTCCTCAGGGTAGTGAAACTTATTACAAACATCCATTCAAAAGACCAGCTTAGAGGAGCTAAAATTTGAAGGGGTACTCAAAGAAATCGTTAGGGATACTTCGTAGTAATGGTCTTATGTTAAAGTAGTTCTTGGTAGGTAGTCCTTAGTGCAGGTTTCATTGTATTAATCTTCTGGATAAAGTCAACTAGATTAAAGTAGTAAAATTTCATCTTCATTCTTATAAACAAGCAAGTCCACAACAAAAAAAACTACTTAAGTGCATTTCTTTTTCACTCTCCAGTGAGAGACATTGTAATTTCCCCTTAGTAAACATTTTGGAGAATTAATATTCTAGAAGTTCTTTCATTACAATAGAAACCCCAATCTATTATATACTATAATTATGAATGAGTCAGATTGTTTCAAAATCTATTGTACGTTTTTATTGGTGTTACCAAGTGAGTTTTACTCCAACCTTGTTGCATATAAAACAAATTTTATATATTTTTGCACAAACTTAAAGCTCAGCAAATACAGTTGTCTTTAAATTAGTTCAAAAGCAAGGTAGGCTTATGTTGCGGCCAAGAACAATACGAGAAATCGTATCTTGGCTGTACAATATATTTGCTTTAAAGTTAGTTGCAACCAAACAAATGCTAGCACAAGTAACCGGAAAATGCTAGTTTTTTAGAAGTTGACTCGCACGACATGTACTATATGGGTGCTCAAACTTCTTCACAATCCAGAGCACATCTTAGTATAGAGTTAGTCTGAGGGAACACTTCCCCATTGGTGGCCTTCTCCTCCCATTTGTCATCATGCAACATCTCTCTAACAACTACAGCAGTTGCCTGCCTGTTAGTTATTTATAACGGTTTCTTAATATAATTTAGCAGATGGCAACGAGGAGGAGATAGCACTATGTGATCAGCCAGCTCTCAGCATACCTTCAGTGGTCAACAGACCACAATTCGAGAACCTCTGATGTACAACAATGTGCTTAGGAGCTCTTGAGAATTCTGTTTGCAATATCAGAGTGGTCTTCTAACCTACTGGTTTGTGGGTCACTGCTTACATCAGAGAAAAATGAGCTTCATTTAAAATAAAAAAGCAATTGTATACCCATAAATAGCACTTTGCAGATTCTATACCTACTAGGCTATTGGGGTCCCTCCCTATGACCTTTGTGGGGTTCCTTTTGCTGCCCTAATTCCTAAATGTTTTGTTGCTTTATCCCCACTCAGCTCCATTGACCACCAATTTCTTTCAAAGCAGTAATGGATAGGTCTCCCTTTAAAACAATGCAGGATACTGTTTCAAATGACTGAAAGGTTGATTGCGCACAAGTTGGGGTGCTCCTTCCCATGGAGCTGTGTGCTTCTGCATAGAGTCCCCATTGTTATGCAGTGGAAAACCAAATCCAGGATGGGAACCTGGTTCTCCTGTGGCACTATAATGTTACTTCAAGGCTGCAGTGTTGTCTCTGTTAGGAATCTGAGCTTTACTTAAATCTCAACTACAAAATTGGTTATGATGCTGTCACATGGTTTTGATGCTTCTTTTTTCTGATGATTGGCTCTTCCGCTAGTGAGTTGCTCAGTTGTTTCAACTGCATTTTTCTTTGGAACTGTGATAGCTGTCTCTAATATCAGGTCTTGCATCATCAAGTCAGTCCCTGTTAGCTCTTTAGACTTCTTCTGCCATGTATCTGATCCAGCTGGCCATAAACTGCTAGTAACCAGAAAATCCCCGTTACTCCTGGGCATGCGCTTGCCTTGTTTAGATCTTTTGAGATATGATATCTTATTTGCCATTACCACAGTTGACAGAAATAGACATGTGCAAAAAACAACAAGCACTGCTATTACAATGAAACAAATTAGTAACAGAGATTTCTTTTCTTCACAATTTTCAGTTTTTGTTGTAATGTGGGTCCTGGTGGTGGTCAAAGGGTCTTGAACTGCAGAAGTAAG